TTTATTTATTTTTTTTTACTTTTACGGAATGACTATGACCTGGATGACTGAGAATCTTCATCAGCAAATAATACAATTACAAATTGTGAAGCAGACTGTGATTTAGAAATACCTCATCTACAGAGTAGGGAATTTCAGCAATGTCAGGTGAAAAGCAAACAGGCAACCAAAGCCACACAAGAATATAAAATATAAGAAAGAATTAACATTATTAAAGAGTTGAAGATTATTAAAGACTCTGCAGCAAAGGAAAAAACCTAATCTCAGAAAACGCTTTGAATTATTAAAAAAAAAAAGAAGCAAACTTTGATTAAATGAAAAATGTTCAAAATAAAAACAAACAGAAACCTGTCTACAAACAACATGGCAAATAACAGTCAGGATGTGAAAAAAAACCCTTTTGGAGCAGGTAAAACTGTGCAAATAAAGGCATTTATGTACAAAAATGATTACTGTGCAGATTGAAAACTGCTACTAGTTGCAATTCTTAACACTTATTATGGCTTTTAGTAGCAGTAAAGATTTTACAGTCTGACAACAGCTTCTTTCTGTACCTTGGTTGCAGTATAGTCTTTCACTGACTATCTTGCTGAGCATCAGTAATATGTCCACCAGTTCTTTTGTTTTCGCTGCAGTTTGATACGAGATGCTACTTCTGGCACCAGTCTAAGTTAGTACTCCAAGTCACTCTCTTTTGCGATGCACCAAGTACGACAGCCTGGGGAATTGATGGAGAAGCCAGCTTTAGCAGGGTTAGAGATATTTTTGAGCTTTTCTTGGCTCTTAGGGCAAAATCATTGGAATTAGCAGATATAAAACACACATGTAAATTGTAAATAAATTATCTTTAGATATAGCATTAGTTTATTTCAAACAAAATGTAATTAATTAATTTAAAATGAAAAATATGTTATTGAACTGAAAAAGAGACTAAATGTCTTAACTTTTTTTCAATGGGTTATTATAGAAGTTAATAGCTGTAGGTTGGAAGGTTCGTTTTTAGGTGGTCTGTGGAGAAGCATTTGACACAGTTTATCTTCATGTTTTGTTTGTTAAATGGTCCTCGGAACAGGATAATTAGGGTTCTCCATAATGTTAGTTGCTTTCTGAAAAATCCTCTCCATTGGTTCCAGAGATTAGCCAGACTCATTATCTTTCTTTTAGATTATTAATCTCTTTCCTATATATGATTAAAGTAATAATTGCTTTAATTATCCAATAATTAGCAATTCTCCATAAAGCAGGTGAAAACACGTTGCATCCGTGCCTGAGGTATTAAGTGAGTCTCCATCGTTCTTATCCATAAAAAAAAGTGGCTGTGGGAGACAATTCAATTCAATTCAGTTTATTTATATAGCGCCAATTCACAACACATGACATCAAGGCACTTTACAGTTCACCAGATCATACAGTCAAATCGATTCAACGTTTTCTATCTAAGGAAAACCTGTTGACTGTATCGACTCATTGACTTGAATGCAATCCCTCACACTAAGCATGCTTATAGCGACAGTGGAAAGGAAAAACTCCCTTTTAACAGGAGGAAACCTCCAGCAGAACCAGGCTCAGTGTGAGCGGCCATCTGCCGAGACCCACTGGGGTTCAAGGAGACAGAAGCAGTGATACAAAAAGCAGCCGTAAAAGGCGGCCCCCGTCCAGGAAACACAAAGCCAGGCAGACGAGCACCGAGCCAACTCCCACGCCAGAGGATGAAGAGAGCATATGCACTTAGTTACAGTCAGAGAAACAGGACTACACTGGAAAACAGGCCGATCTCCAACATCTATAAACAAAGGTGTTAATGGCAGCACAGCTGATATTTCTCTCCAGGATGGTGTCGCAGCCAAACAGGAACAGACGAGGCAAAGCTACTATGAGAAAAAGCAGAGAGAGCATAATATTAGGGATTTAACTAACAGATTCTGCGGAGTGGGAGTATAGAGATAGAATGAAGCAGAATGATGAAATGGGGGTCCCTATGTCCTCCAGAAGTCTAAGCCTATAGCAGCATAACTATAGCGATAGCTCAGGATATTAAAAGCTGCATCAAACTCGATTATTATTATTAAAGTTTATTCATGATATCTGTGTATTTTGGTAAACAAATACCTGAATTATATTAATGTAACCTAATCGTAGTAAGATATTAGAGATTGAGCTAACAGATTCTGCAGAATGGGAGTATAGCGATAGAAAAGACTCTTCAACATTGATTGTCACAAGGAATGTAAATACTAGATATTTGTTTCTCCACTGGGTTTTTTATTGTATTCCATGTAATTCCCCCCCCCCCCTTATTTGAACTTCGACAACTGCTAAAGTGATGACAACTAGTACTAGTATACATTATAAAATGTTGATTAATTTGCATTTGCCCTTTCCCAGTAAATAAATAATAAAATAAATTCTGTTCTTTTGTCTTAATTTGAAAGGTATCACCGGAAGCACTAATATTCGTAATGTGAGAAACTTGATGATAGGTATGAAGGAGAATGACAGCTGAGCGTGTATAAAGGTGCAGCGCCACCTCCATAACACCATCTAGAGTTATCTGCGCACTTTAAAAACAAGAAAAGAAAACATTTGAGCTTCAGACGCTGTTTTTCTGCCTCCATCTGGACGTTTCAGAGTGAAATAGAGGAGAGCAGCCCACATTCATAGGGATATTTGTATTCTCCGCCTTTGCGCCGTCAGAGAGAGAGAGAGAGAGAGGAGAGAGGATCCGGATGTAGCAGCAGTGTTGGGTATTTTACGCATGGCGTAGGCACCTTTCCTTCAGCAGAATATTGTTGATGACTGAAGGGTTGAAGGAGGCCCTCGGGTCGACAGGAGAACTTCACCTTGACAGTGGCGCACCGGAGGATCCATTAAAGAAGCGATTGCGCAATAATATTCAGGAAGGAGGTTTTATATCCTGGTTAACTGCCTCAGTGTTGCGACTGGACAGAGAGAGAAGGGGCAGAAGTCAGCAGGAATAATACATTGTGTTTCTGTCTGCTGCCATAAACCCCTTCAGAGGACGCGCTTCTTCTCCCAGACGGGAAAAGAGCGGATATTTGCTGTATGAACGCCTGAGCGGCTGAGAAAACCTCCAGGATGTCGGGCAGCACCTCAGCGGACACGGTGAGACAATTGACTGAATGTCACTTCGGTGTCATTTCAACCTGATCGTTTCAGGAGGGTCTAAAACGCAGAGGAAAAGGCTCATTTTCTGGTTTTATTGCTCTGATCTGCAACAAAAAGCGTCACTTTCTTAGGGGCGCAAAGTTTGGACTAGAAACCAGCTTTTCAACCTGATTGATTGGGAAATCATACGTTTTTTTATAATTATGACCAACATTTACAGTTAAAGAGAGCCTTTAGGGCTCTCCACAAGTCTTCTACTCTTTTATTTATGATGTTGAAATAGACTCTGGGTTGGACTTTATCCTATCTGGCTCATAACACAGGACGCACACATTTATAAAAATAAAACACTTCCTCAAACTACAGTTTTACTTCTTTCTTTAAAAACAACTGCAAAATGAATCCACCCTGTATCTTTTCCATAGTTAGTTGTAGTAAGACCTCAAACTTGTGTGCATTTGTTTGGATTTTTTTGTGGTAGACCAAAGCAAAAAAGTGTAAAAATTGAACTGGAAGCAATATTAATCCGGATCAAGTAGGGTGTGCAATTTTATCTTCGCATTTTCCACTGATACCCTTAACTAAAACCTCAGAAGTCATTTGATTAGGATCATTGTGAATAATGAATTACTCTATAAATACAGAAGGTTTCATGGTTCCTGAGCTTTTTTTTTTTCTTCTGAAGAACAGAATTAAATAAGCAACATAGCGGAGACACTGAATGGTTTAGAACTGGCCTTTTAAAGCTTTAATGGTCTAGTCAAAGTCCAGAACAAAATACAAGTGATAACCTCTGTTAATAATATGGATGCCAATTAAACAGCTGAGTGACTGACTGACTGACTGACTGGTATGTTGCTGACACAACGGGGCTTTCTGTCTTAATCAGCAGAAGTGATGGAGAAACACCTGGAAAGGGAAGTTTCAAAAACATGGATACTTTTGCAAGTCACTCTGTTAGTCATGAACTGCTTGTTACTTAAAATAGTTGTTTATTAACTTCAGTTTTAATGATTTTTCTTTTTGCATTTGCCATGTTTTATTGGCTAAATAAATAATAGAAATAGATGAGTTACTTTTTTAAAGGTGCAGCCTTATTTGGAGGATTATGGACATTCCTAACAGGCCCCCTCACTATATAGTGTTCATTTGAAGTTTAGCTTTGCTAATAGAAATCAACCAACAGTCCTATGGTGCGTAAATTTATGAATAATATGTGCAGTTGTAGTCACAGGAACATCAAACTCCTTGGAGATAGTCTTTATCTTCAACGTGCTTGTTGATAATTTTCTTTTTTAATCTTCTGAGACAACGCTTTCCTTCGCTTTCTCTGGTCTATTCTGATTGGTACACACTATATCACCAAACAGCAAAGTGGTTACCTGTAGCCCTATGTATAGGCCCACTGACTGATTACAAGATCGTGGAAACCTTTGGTGCTAATCAGTGGATATGCCTTGATTTAACATGTCCCTCTGGTCGCATTATTTTCTGTCTTATGTTGCATTCAGACCGGATGCGGTGAGTGCGGGGGATTCGTATAGAATTGTTATGCAAATCGCGCGGGAAAGCGATCATCAGTGAATCCCCCAAGGTGAGAACGTTTACTGCTCCGATCTCACCTCATGCTATGGATAGAGCTGAGGTGTTGTCAAACAGCAGCACCGCAAGGAGAGAGCGGATTGGTGATCGCTGAAGTTGAAACGAGTTGAACTTTTCTGTGAAAATGCGACACGGCAGCCAATCAAGGAATGATTGTAGGCTCAACTTTTTCATATAAGGTAGAATTAAATAGTGCTCTCAAGAGATATTTAGGTGGCTTTAATAAAAGCTGTGAAATTTAGTCCTACAAGGACTGTTCATCATCCTTCTTTACCTCCAGCATAGACCCCAGTTTGCACTGCCCACCGCCTAGCATCAGTACTTTCTGTGCGGGTAGATTTATAAGGAGGTACCGCCGAATCTGACTGTCATTCAGACACAGCTCTGGATGAACAAAAATGGATTCTTTTTTTCAGTCCTTGTGGGGCTTTTCCAAGACAAAGATGGTGTCCCCAAAGCAATTTAAACGTTGTTCATAAATAAAGTAAACGTCTTATATTCAGTGCCAGCACAGGAATGACATGTGATGTTATGCGATAGCTTTACTTCAGGTAACGTCTAACGTCTGCTAGGATGGTGACATCATCGACCATAATTAAAAACAATTTGAACCCAAATCAGCACAAATGACGGTTTTACCTGCACAAATTAAGTAGCACTGAAAAAGAAGGCTAGATAATTTTGTTTCAATTCAGAGCTCAATAGGGGGATAGTCGACCACTGGTTGACCTAAATAAATATGTTTAATATCTCTGAAACAACAGCAGCACACATTATCTTTTTTTATTTTTTATAATTTTAACTAATGAACATTTTAAATGCACAAACTTGCACTAATGAAACCCTAACCATTCAGTGTATTTGCTGAGTTTTTTCACATCAGTAGGGTAAGGCCCCTCCTATTTGATGATGTGCTCCAGGGTTTAAACCCTGTGCATCTGAAATGCAGAGCTGTGAACTGCATTTGGTCTGAACACACCATAAGGGTACCATCATTTTTGTCCAGGCTTGTTTCATCCAGACAATATTTACCCAAATGAGGTTTTGTTTTTCATTAGGTTAAACTTCTATAACATGACATATGCTGCCATGTTGATTTTTATTTTCTGAGTTTTTATTTTTGGTCCTTAGGTAGGTATTGAATAAAACATACATTTTCCAGATGTAGTACTGTAACATTCAAAATGCTGACAGAGAGCTGTGGAGTCGTAGGTGGACTTCTTTGACTTTTTCCTTTTAGCATTGCAAGATCTAATGTTCATTTATGGAGAAGATTTGCGATTTCAATCCATATAGAATTGACCTTTTATCTCCTGCCAAACAGAGTGGTAGAAACAATTGCTTCTCTCAGATAATTGCTTTCATCTTTAAATCTTGACATTGTGGTAACATGCTGCACTGGGATGCTATTCAACCTGTTATTTTCCCATATCTCTTCCACATAATGGCTCTGTTTTTTTTTGTTTTTTTTTAAAGATGTGACATTTAGCCATGCGTTGCCATTTACCATCAATCAGCTATATCAGATTTTTTTTAAGACCTTACCTGCTTTTTCCCAGATTTTATCAATTTGGCCTCTTATTTCCCTGCAGGCTGTAACACAGAGGACAAATAGGCTATCGGTTTTTAGATTGCTGTGCTAGTGATAAATCACAAATTCGAAATTAGGAATTGAAAGATCATCCCCATTTTTGCATCAAAGCACATGTCCTTAACTTTTATCTGATTGTTATGCATCTATTTGCATGCTTTTCCTTGATATGGTTAGATGTCTATAAAGGTCTAGATTTTAGAGTAGGTGCATTTGAATCTGTACATGAACATATTTGAAACGTATGTTTTATTCATAGAAAAATATAGCTTTTGATTTTTTATGTATGGCTTAATAAAGGTGCAGAAAAGTAAAATTGGGATGATTGGCAGAGCTTTTCTCGCAGTCTTCACACTGTGGTTATTAGTCGACCATCTGAGCATTCTCAGACTTCTCCAATCACCATCATTGTGTAACATATTAACTTGTGTCACACCAGCTTACTTAGAGCAGTGGTTGGTTTTATGAGCTCTCGTCATAAAGATTTATTTTAGCCTCACATGGGGAAGAAGTTCCACAAATTACAGTCATCAAATGCATCGATTGAAGTAAGCCAGTCCCCTTCAGGCTGTCACATGTCCGTCATTTCTGCTTTTAGCAGACGTTTGGCACTAAGAATACAGCCAGGTCTATGTTTAGAAAGGATAAACCGTCTAATGTGCCCCTATGTTGAGATCAGCTATCCCAGCTGTGCATGTGTTAGTGCCCGTCCACACTCAGCTGACCCCCCCTCCAACTGAAGGTCTGTTTAGTCGTCGTAGCCGTGAGCTGACCTCTGTGCTTACATGGTCCAGTTGGTGCAATACCATCTAATAACACAGCCTGTGGAATCCCCACAGATTATCAACTGAAACATTTTTCTGTCCTAATGGATGGTCTAATTCTAATGACTTTGCAAGAATAAAAAAAAAAAAAGGTGATGTTTCATGTTCTCTTAAAGTATTGATTATAAATAACAGCACTTGAGTCGGGTCTGGCAAATATCTGAATTTCCAAACGTCATTTTTTCCTTCAATTCATCAACAGTTTTCAAAGTCCAGTCTCTGAGGGCAGCTGTCCCATATTATGGTGATGTATCCATCATACCTGAATCTAATGACTGAATTTGCTTCTAAACATGGAGTCAAGCCTCACTGAGCCTGGCTAATGGTCTCTTTATTTGACCTAAATGTGGTAAAGAAGATAATCAGTTAAAAGTTACTTTAGGCTTTAAGACCCTGAAGGCACCCTATGATTTAACCAATGTCAATATACGTCTGTCCGTCCGTCCGTCCGTCCGTCCGTCCGTCTATCCTACAGCAAAATAATGCCACACATTCATGAAAAAACAAATAAAAAACCATTACGTCTGTTTTAATATGTGTTTGAATATCTGTGGTGCATAATTTTGCATATGGTAGCTATGATGCTCCTTCATTTATTAGCAGTTTAGGTAGTGACCATGGGGGTGGGGGCTTAAACATTTGGTTAAACATCTATCTTTATATTTTGTTTTGTATACGCTCTGTGTTTACAAAATGACCATAAACTTAGTCTAAGCCTAAGTCTATGAATGTGTGCCTGCTGGATCTCTTTTGTAGTCTGACATTTTTCCTTTTGAGGGGAATATTTTCATTATTTTTACATAATCTACCATCAACATGAAGTGTAAAGTTCATTCACTTGGTGGTAAATTCCAGATTTTTCTAACTTCCTAGTTTCAAATGTGTTTTGTAATGGGTTTGATTCAGTGCAGATCATCCTGTATGTGGTTCATGGTGCTAACTTGCCTGCGGCAGAAACGTAGAGGTCAAAGTCTGCACAT